ATGCAAAACACTGCAAGGCATGCTTTCTTGCTGCTCCTCTTCTCGGCTCTTTCTCAATCTCTCCCGGGCTGCCCCAGCAGCCTGTACCCCCAGTTCCCCACACTGGCCTTCTCACCTGGTGTCCTGCTGGCTTTCTGGGTTCATGTGGTCTTGTTGGGAACAGAAACGGGCACTTACCAACCTGAGTTTGCATGGATGGAGGTTGAGTTGTTAAATTTGGGAGTCCTTACACTTAACAGGGAGATGTGTCCCCTGACACAAGGGATAGGACAATTGAACATAGTACCAAGTTGAAAGTTGGGGGTTGTATAACGAACAAAAGACAGTGACTGCAGCACTGAGGATGATTTTTTGAAAAATCACGACTTTCTTCTGTCCACATACTAATTAATTAAGTCATGGTACGTCTACAGGCAACATCATATGCGGCCATTCATAAGATGGGCCGCTCGACTCTGAACAATCTCCAAGTTGATATAGTTAAGTGAAAAATCTAGTATGACGTACAGGTATTTATCTCTAAAAAAAATTCACACGCCTGGACTAGAGCATATTTTTCGATGATTGTGTATGTTGGGAGAGATTTACAAGTGTTTGCACTTGTGTGTCTTTTTGCGTTAAAAACACATGTTACGTTCCCTATCTAAATACTTTTTTCAGACTCTCCACGCACAAAGAAATAACTTGTCCTCAGCCTGGCTCCGCTGCGTTTGAGCCGGTGAGGTGACTGTGCTTGAATAAGGGTCTGATTTCTTTCTTTCCCCTTTTCCTGGCCACCCCCTACCCCCCAGGTACAGCTCTGGGTAGCAGCGGCACGTGGCCAAGGATCTGCAGTAGGAGCGCCTGCCTCTGCTTTGGACTTCGTATTCGGTGTATTTTCCATAAATCAAGTAAAGCTTGGTTTTCATGTTATTGAATAGACTTAGTTTCTTTGCTGGACTTTACTCCTTGAACTTGGCTTACCACTTCTGAATAGGAGAGTCTGCAGAGTGGCACACACTGATAAGGCTTCTGGTTGTCACCAGGCATTCTTCATTTCTATAATGGGAAATTAAGAAGCCCTTTTGGATGGGTGGAGACCTCCTCCTGTCAAAGCCTGAGTTTGTAGGAGACCAGATGTGCCCAGTCATTTTTAAGAGGTGGGGGGGCGGATCTCAAAAATAAGTTTACAGCAGTTAATATATTGTATTTCAGTTGGGATTTTGATGATGAGAGGCCCCTCCGTCCTTTGAGCTTACATTTTTCACTGATGTGAGCAGTTGTATTTAAAGCTAGAAGCTCGTTCTTATGGATGTGCGGTGTGTATGAATTCCTTGTTGGATCGCAGGTAGTATAAAAAGTAGATTTCCAGAAAGTGCTTGCACTCACACACCAAGTTGTGTTCATTAACAAAGCGCTTGATTTAAGCTCTGGCTAAGGAAAACCGACCTACTTGGTATTTTTATTTATTTATTTTTTCTTTAACCTCCCCCTTCCTCTCCCGCTGGGCCCGCATTCCTAGGTCTTTGTCTCCGCTTGGTATTTTAGAAATTTTGGGAGAGGAAGGCAGTGGGTGGGGCCTCCTGGAAGCTGGGGGCAGGGAAGAGGGTGGTCGCTCACAAGGTCAGAGGTCGAGCCTGCTCCATTCAGCTGGGGCAGCCAGATTGTCGCCATGCAGGGGCGGGGGCGGTGGGGGCGGGGGCGTGTGTGTGCATCTGCTTGGGAAGCCCCAAACAGGCAGCCCCAGGCCCTGGAATTCCTCCCTCCAGAGGCCTGCTCCTTCCCCCCACCCCCTTCCTGGAGCCATAGTTCATGGCCTCTGCTACATTGCTGGCCTTGGACCCTCCACACAGCCCTTTCTTTGGAAGACGTGGGTTCCAGTTTATTCTGTAAAAATAATCCTGCAGCTGGTTCGGAGAGTTGTTCCCATGCACATCCTTACCTATTGATCGGGTTTCACAAGCTCTAAAATGGTGGATTTTCGACCTTGGATGCCGAGCTTGTTATGGGTTAAAAGTTCTACTCCAACTTTTTCTAGAAAGTTTATAAAATAGATCACATTTTCAGTGTTCGGACAATATTCCTACCCCCACCCCCACCCCCCAATCAGCAATTTATTTACTAGTAGCACCGTGAGGCTGTGCTTTTACTCACCCATAGCTTTTTCTGATCCACTAGCTGGGTGCCCCCCACGTCCAGCCCCAGCGCTGCCTGGAGCTGCATCGATCCCATGTGCAAAGATGCTAGGTGGGATTTGCCCGTTCTGGGGGGATCTGGGCCCTCAAGGCTACACGTAGGAGGGGCGTGGTGCCCAGGACTTCTTTCTGAGGCTGAGGCCCCAGAAACAAGAGTTCTTGGGATTTCAAGGGTAGACTGGACCTCCTGAGGCACCTAGTCAGACTGGCTAGGTGGTCCCATGACCAGGCAGTGCCAGGCTCAGCTGAACAGCCTAAGGTACTTTGCCACTCACTGCCTGTGCAGATGAGTGGTTGCCCAAAGACACAGGATAGCAAGGTGTCTCTAGCTAGTCAGTCCATACAGCTGTCCCTAAAACAAGTTAATCCTGAGAAGAGACAGAGAAGATTGCTTAACTGTCTTTGGCAGGAGGGGGCAGGAGACAGAAGGCTCTGAAGCCTGCTTCATTCTAATTTAAAAGGAACCTTCTGGTGGATGGGTTTCACACTTGCTATTAGCATAGGAGTGATCCCTTTATTCCCTTGACAAATGGAGGGAGCAAAGGAAAGGAATGTGGTTGGAACCTGTGGGTGAATTGCTTTCGCATCACATCATTTGGGGGGGGAAAAAGAAAAACCTGTCCGGGAATTACCCCCAAATGTATCCAGCTTCACATCTTTTGGTTGGTATTTCAGGTTAGCTTGAGAATTTTAGGTTTATCAGATCAGAAAGATGATCTCATCTCTAAATGGTGGGCCTGCTTTTAAAAGTGACTGGTCTTGAAGGCAAATTGCCAACACTTGGTTTCAGTCTGCCATGGCTCCTGGAGAAAAGTCGTGCCCTAGCTAAAAAACTGCTAGGAAAGCTGCAAACCTGACCACATTACCACCCCCCCCTCCTGTAAAATAGAGGCCGTAAAATTTACCATATCAGAACTATTTCTTAAAGGTAGGAATGATGAGGGGCTCAAATGTTGGGAGAATTTTAGTTTCAGGTAATAGCTAATAAGCTTAGTAATCAGCGTATGTAAAAAGCTGTTGTTTCCGGAACTGAAGGTATGACCCACCTTGAGTCCAGGAGACCATAAGCTGTTCCGCCTTTGTGCCTCTGGAGGTCTCACGCCCTCCAGCTGGTGTCTGAGCCACTGTGCTCCAGGGTGAGGTGGCCACCGCCCGGGGTGAGAATGCTGCAGTTTTTTAAATCCAATTAACTTTTCTCTGAATGTCAAGCCCCTTACCTACACTTTGTTTTCCCTATAAAAAGGGCCATCTTCTCAGATCCCTGGCCGTTGGAATAAAGCGCCCATAAAGATTCAATCCTTGTTTCTGCTTTTTGGGTCTGGTAGGTGGCAGGCAGCATGGACACTGGCTTTTCGGGTTTCAGGAATATAATATCCTAAATCTTTTCCTATATCAGAATCCAAAAGTAGCCACTTGGAAAAGTAGCCTAACCCGTGCTGGATTACATGCCTCTCTATTAACTGTGTTAACCCAGGGTGGAGCAGGCCTGTGTTCTGGGCCGAGCCATTTGGGAGATCGTTTCCCTAGTGGACGTATGTGCTCCTCACCAGGACTTGGGTGGGTTTGTAAAATAACCTGGAAAAAGGAGAGCAGTGGCCTTCTCACTGATTGCCTCAGGGCTGTTTCTCTGTGGGACTTTGCACCTAATAGGGACTTCCTGGCCCTCAGGGCTAACCCCCTCCCCCATCTCTGTCTCCCTATACCTGCTTCTCTGCCAGGACAAGCGCTTGTACTATTTCACATGTTGGACCTCCAGGATACCTAGCGAAGTGCTGGGGCTGTGCATGAGGTGGCCAGTACCAGGCACACGTGGGAAGCAACTCTTCAGAAACCTCAGCTTGCCCTCCCTGCTCTGCGCTTGCTAGCTGTGTGGCCTTAGGCACCTCACAACCTGCTGTCTTCACGTGGGGATTGAGTATGTTGTGTCTGTGAGAGAGCTCCCCTTGGACACCATGTCCCTGCCTCCTGTTGCGTGTTGGCTGGCTTTCCCTCTCACCCAGGTGTACCAGAGGCAAATGTAAGCTCTGCTCTTGAAAGCAATCCAGCAAACATTTACAGAGAGTGGCGCTAAGTGCCTTGCTCTGTGGAGGGATACAAGACTGGCCCAGTTTCTGTGCCAAGGAGCTGTCGCTCTTGAGAGCTCCTCATTTATCAGCAGGTGGAGGTGGTGCCAAGGCTCCTCTCTCTCCCTCCCAGCATGCTGGGCCCCAGGGAAATAGAGAAAGAACATCGCCGAAAGCAGTTAAAGCGGTTCTGTTGGCATGGGCCGCCTCCCAGGGTCAACTCCTGGGAACAACTTGGCAGGAAGAAGAAAGACAAGGAGCTGGCTGACCTTACCACTAGATTTTGCCCTTAGCTTGCTTGAGTGCCTAGAGGACCTTGCTTTGCCTGTCGTGCTAATCTCCTTGATGGGTTGGGGGGGGGGGTGTGTGCACGCGCGAAAACCCTTAGTGTGAAGCTGATTAATACTGGCCCTTAACCTTGCTTCACACGCAAGAGAAAATTTCTCGTATATTCTTTCACTTGGGCTACCAATCTCAGAAATAACATAATCTTAGGATTTATTAATCTAAGGTACAGGGAAATGTTAGGTCTTTGAAATGCCTCAGTTATATAGGGTGCCTGTTCTTTGACTTGGGGCAGGGGACGGGGAAGGAGAGCACGTTGTGCGCTTGGTTGACGGCCGTGCTCCCTGTCTTTGGAGCGGCTGTGCTCCTCTATTGGGAACAGTGGGTGGAGGTCTGGGCTCCAGAGCCCTGCTGCTGCTGTCCTGCCTGTCCCAGTCGTGCATCTCTCGTTAATGCCTGTCCCGTCTCTGGTCCCCAGGTGCTGCACCTGTACTGTGATACTTGCTCCGTGCCCATCTGCCGTGAGTGTACAATGGGCCGGCACGGCGGCCACAGCTTCATCTACCTCCAGGAGGCACTGCAGGACTCGCGGGCACTCACCATCCAGCTGCTGGCTGACGCCCAGCAGGGCCGCCAGGCAATCCAGGTCAGTCCTTCCCCACCCTTCACCTGTTTGCCTTGTTCTTCCTTGCACAGAAAACCTTTCCCACTCCCTTTCAGATGGCGTGTGTAGATTACTGGGCAGACGCCAGTGTGGGGGGGCCGTGGAACAATGACCCAAATGAGCTGCTGTGATACCCATGCAACTCCAATCCCTGGGGCCCTGGCCGCCTGAGGGCGGGGGAGGCCTCCCTGAAGCCTTGTGCGGAGTAGGATGTGGCCAGAGTTACTGACCAGTCCGGGCTTGTTCCAGACACCTAGCCGGGCCCCTATCACATCATCTGTCTGTTTCCCATCCAGCCCCTCCCCAAATCCAGGTGGACTGCAGAAGGACTGGGAGCTTAATGCTGTTCAGACAGAGACCTTCCCTCTTCAGAATGAATGAATGACTGAATGAATGAATTTATAGTGGCGAGAGAGCAGCGAGCATGGGAAATGCCGTATAAAGTTCAGAGTCGCAAACTCTTTTCAGGGTGATAAAGTCACATCCTGGTAACTTAGACTCTTGTTTCTGTTGACTCTTCATCCCTTGGGGGTTAGGAAGGGACACCTATGTGTAACTTTGGGGCATAGCAGAGTTCTCTCACATAGGTAATGCTGTGTGTTTGGATTGATTTTGAATCTTGTCACCTGGTTCAGGTGACAAGGTTTTAGGAAAACAGAAATATTGAAAAAGAAGCTGTTATTTACATTCTAGAGTATTTGAATAAGTGAATTGTTATTTTAAAAAAAGTCTTTTTAGGAAAATGGTTACAGAACTGACCATGTGCTCCAATCAGGGAATGGAAAGATGGTTCCCGGGGTGTCCAGCCCATAAATTTACTTAAAACCTTTATTTATTTAATTTGGGGGGGGGGCACTCATCAGTTTTTGTTAGTGTTTGTGTATTTCATGTGTGTCCCAAGACAACTCTTCTTCTAGTGGGGCCCAGAGACACCAAAAGGCCAACACTCCTGGTTTAGAGTTTAATAAATTTCTTCACAGCTATCACATTCCTATGCATAATAATGAAGGAATCTCTCTGAGCCAGATTATCTGATACACAAGTCATAACACTGGAAGTTTGAGAGTCTGGGTTTCTGGAATCACTTACGCTGTTGTATTCTCATGCCTTCAGAGTGTCTCCTGATTGCTGATACATCTTGTTTGTCAGCATAGTTTGGCACATAGTTCTTTCATTTATATTTTATTTTAGTGACTCTGTGTCCCTGCAGGTTTCTCTCCTAGACACCATCACTGTAAAGAACAGCCGATGACTGGGTTCGTACCCCCCATAGATTGTGGCGTTATCTGATGAACCCCTTTCTGTCCTTGGAGACTGAGAACACGCAGGGGGTCCTCAAAACAACCAGAGAGCAGCCGGTGAGCTTTGTGCTCTGCTGCAAACTCTGTCCCTGGGGGGCGTGGGGAGGAACGTGTGGTTAAAATAATGAAATCTCAGAAGCACAAACTTGAGCTTTTTGTGGAGGGGAGAGAGAAGGGCAGATTTTGTCTGCCACACTCAACTTTCTGAACACAGTCACTGTTAGCTAAGAGTCTGCTGTGTGGGTCGTAAAAAATATATAGGCGTGAAAATTAAATATTAGTTAGTAAATTATAGCTGATACTAATGTAAATACTAGATCATGGGGCATTTTGTGGGGAGGATCCAAGTGGCAATTTGGGGAGGAGGGTTCTTGGGGTGAGTTGGTATGCACAGTGCAATCTGTGGCCACACTGAGATACACCTGCTGAACATCAACTGTGTAGATTATTAAAGACTCCCTAGAAAGTCCTTGTGTAACTGTATGTAAACCCTTTCATGGCTTTGGTTATAATTCTTTAAAACCTGCATTCAGCCAGTAATCTGAAGATCTGGGGTATAATTGGACACCTGTTTCTGTCTGAACAGAAGTTTTTGCTCCATTCTCACTCAGTTTCTTGGACACATAGCTCTGATTGTCCTGACCCCACACAAGGAACCCATTCCAGTCCTAGACTGGTGTCTCAGCTGGTTGGAGCATCCTCCTGTATGCCAAAAGGTTGCAGGTTCGATCCCCAGTCAGAGAAGATACCTAGATTGTGGGTTAAGAGTCCAGTGGGGGCACATACAGGAGGCAGCCATGTCTGTCTTTTTCTGTGTGCTCCCTCACCCCATTTTCTTCTCTCTCAAATGAATAAGCATATCCTCAGACAGGCATTAAAAATAAAGGGAGGGAGGAAGGAAGGAAGGAACCCAGGTCCAAGAAAGTGAGTGAGAATATAGGGAAGAATCTGCTTGTCTTCAGCAGACACTTAGCTGAGCACCTGCAGTGTTACGGGAGAGCACTGTTTGGAGGACCTCAGGCGCAGTCCCTGATAATTCCAAGTGGCATTTTTAAAGTATATCTGGAAAGACTGGGAAAAGCAGCCAGGATATAGCACAAGGTATGCCTTTCTTTTTACGTATATAAAGAGATTCATAGATTAGTGTTAGACTATGCAAGTGTTTTCTCCTTTGGTCACTGAGCAGGGGGCAGAATGACAGCCACTGAAAGTTTGAGATGTCCCTACACCACAAGGTAAAGACATGATGGTGAAACCCAATAAAATAACACACTGAGTTGAGTGGGCCTGCCTCGTACACCTGATTGCTTCATGCAGTTGGTCAGAATGTTAAGGGCCCAAACACATAGTCCTTACGCTGTCACTTTATAGCATTTACATGAAAGAGTCCAACAGAGATGGTACAAAGACTGTTTTCTGTTCTTAATGCGAACATCAGACGAGGAAGGAATGTAGTCAATTAACATGATTTTAAAAAAGTGATGTTTCTTGAAAATATACATAAAACCAGCTCCTTTAAAAATTTTTATTTTTATTTTATTTGTTTTTGGAGAGAGGGGAAAGGAGGGAAAAAGAGGGAGAGGAATCAATGTATGAGAGAGAACATGAGTTGGTTGCCTCTTGCACGCCCCTGACTGAGAATCGAACTTGTGATATTGCGCCTCACGGGCCAGTACTCAATCCACTGAGCCACACCAGCCAGGGCCCCCTCCTTCCTTTAAAAAACAAACAAACAAAAACACTGAATTATTCTAGTCACAGGGTAAGAAGAGATTCTGATTTAAGAAACTGTCTAGATTTGTTTATTTGCTCTAAATGATGTTAATATATTAAGTGTGTCATTTGGGAGCTTTTAAGAGCCATTTATTTGTACTAACAAAATGGCAGATCCAAGCAACAGTAGCTATGCTAGAAATAGTCTTTATTTTGCTACTAAAGACAATTAAGATATCAAACCATGGTGTAGTGAACACACAATACATTGTACAGGTGATAATGTCGTGGAATCGTGCACTTGAAACCAGTATAATTTTGTTAACCCATATCGCCCCAGTAAATTCAATGAAAATGAATAGAAGAAAAGAAAAGGCATTGAGCCAATTGTAAAGGGCACTGAAGGAGGGAGAAGGAACAGATTTAAATTGATCATAACAAACACCAAAATTAGAACCTCGCTAGATTAAAGGGCTACATCGAGAAGAGGGAGGAAAGTATTGAAAGGGAAATAAAGGTGGATACGTCGGCATATTAAAAGAACACAAACTAGAAAATATGGTAGTTACTCGGAAAAGATCATAAAAGTAATTAAAACAGGAAGACATGTAGATAAAGGAATGAAAGAGACAAAAACACACCTGAGACAGGGGGAAATCCAGTTACTCAGTAAATTTAGCCTCAACAGTGATCCATTTAAAATGACACCAGAATACTATTTTGGATAAACAGTAAGCATGGTGCTTACTCTTTGTGGGTGGGAGAACATGTTTTGGATAAAACCCCAGAGCTTTGAACATGGGAGTAACCAGTCCTTCTTTGGGAATCTCCTCCAAGATAGCACCCTGCATTTTGAAGGTATTTGTTGCACGGCTATGAATCACCAACAATTGGTGTAAGGACTTTTTTAGCCACTTAAATTTATAAAGCAATTGTGATCACATTAAAAAATACATACAGCGTTAAAGCAAAACAAGAACACTCTGAAGAGAAGTTGGTTCAGGAAAAATTATGCAGAACCAGAACACAGTGCCTGGGGAAATTGTCAAGTGGAAGTAGACAGAAATATTGGTAATAGTGTTATTTTTTTTAAACCATGGTTATATTTCAATGTACAACTTCTGTACAACCAAAAAGGTAAAACACCACAGTAAAATAACAAAGCATGGTATTTGGTTTGCAATGCATAACAAATGGTTGCACCTTGAGTCAAAAGTGAACTAGTAGTATTTTAAGATGGGACTGAGGCAAAGATACTTATTAAGAAAACATATAGACAATAAATTGCACATATTGAAAGTGTATACCACATGTTTGATATGTATTTCATCCATGAAAACATCACAGTCAAGATTATGAATATATCTGTTACCGGCAAAAGTTTCCCTTGTAATCCGTGGGGCAGGGCCTCCCTCTCTCTTCCCATGTTCTCTAGCAGCCACTCATCTGCTTTCTGTCATAGATTAAGGTTTTGTTTTGATGGGTTAGGAAGTGAATTTAGCAGCTAGTAACAGTCCTTCACTCTGCTTCCAAAAAAGTAGTGGTTTAAATAAATATTCGAGGTTTTAACCTCTCCTATTAAAAAAGGATACACGTGATTGCAGAATCCTTTGGCTACATCCCATCATTCCTCGGCGTTGACATTTTATCCCTGGGCCCCAAATGGCTGCTGGAATACAAGGCATTACATCTATGTTCTGGCCAACTGAAAGGAAGTAGGCATATGCCCCCTTATTTTACAGAGATTTCCTATAAGTCTTTTTTTTTTTTTTAAATTGATTTTGGAGAGAGAAGAACATCGATTTGTTCCACTTAATTGATGCATTCATTGGTTGATTCTTGTATGTGCACTGACCAGGGATTGAACCTGAGACCTTGGAGACCTTGGTGTGTTGGTGTGATGCTCTAACCAACTGAACGACTGGGCCAGGGCTGGGCTCCCAGAAGTCTTGCAAAACACATTCATTG